TCCAAATACTTATAAATCTAACCGCATATGTGGAGCTTCCAGTTTAGTTTTCTCTTGCTAATAAATATCAGCTTTCGGACACTTTCACAATCCTGTTTATTGCCATCAATAAAATACCATGATTAGAGTTATTTGCTTGTTTTGGCAATCAGAGAGGCTCCCGGCTCAAGGGGATCAAGGTCAAATGAAAGACAAAGCTTCATATAAGAAGGTGCTTAAAAAGCAAGTGTGCTGAACTCCTCTAAGAAGAGCGCTAGGTTTCAATATCCAACCTTTAACCTGATATCTTAAACTTTGCCATCTGACTGCAGCTGTATCCACGTGCATGCCAACATTAGCTCGAAAAGTTCACGCAGGGAAATCATCGGTCATTTGCCTGGAAAGAGGGACGGGTGGTCAGGGAGACATTAGAGGGATTTGCGTTTTAGATCTGTTGTGGGGGAACTTAACATAAAGTAGAGCCTTCTAGAGTGTGGACAGTGCTGCCCTGGGGACAACCTCAAAACTCTCAACACAGAAGAGACGATCATGACGTCCAGTGTTAGAACTTGGGATGATCACGCAAGAGGAAACGAGGGAAAAGCTGGGCCTGACTCAGCAGTTTAAAGGGGGAAATCTTGTGAAATGCAGAATGAGGAAGCTTGTGCATGAGAACAAAGAAGCCTGTGGCGACTATCCCTGGATGACGTCTAACGTGCTCCAGAGTGAAACACAGACACCGATGTTTTGGCTCTCTTGGTGCCAAGCAGGGGTTCTCCTAAAGCAAACAAGTGCGGCACACTTCCCGTCACGCATTCTACATCCACAGCTGCGAGAACAAATTACGCAACAGACATGCCAGCGTTTAATCAAGAGGCGGATTAAGGAAAGCCTTGAGTGCTTCTGCACCATTAATAACCGTCGTCTTGTGGCACACATTGCGACTGGTGTGATTTCTACATGTTTTGGCGCAATAGAGGGGGAACTGAAATCGGGGAGTATTAACCAGAAACACGTTTAAAAAAACATCAATCTGCAATGACTCATGCTGATGAGTCTAATGACTAAAGGCTTCCTGAGCATCTTGGCAACAGGAGCAGGGCTGCTGGTCCCTCCACTGCATACGTGCTGCTGTGCCAGTCTGACTGAGAATACCTGCATGCGTTAGGGTGCCTGTCAATACTTGTTTACAACGTAAACAAATCCGCACAGGACAGAGGACCGTCCTCTGTTTATATGTGGCTGCTTCACTGCAGGCGATCTCTACGTTTAACACACCTGACCGTAAGAAAGTCTAATGTTCCCTTCTATTAATAACGAGCCGGGGCTTGCGTGTGACTCTTCAGGTCCACAGCTGCGACTGATGAGATGACAAAAACACACAAAAGGGCCTTCCACCAAATCCTCCACCCTCTACAAGTCATTAAAGTCCTCTAAAGGTGCCAGGCGATGCCTTTACTCACCGAAATCCAAAAACTGCTTGATGGAGAGCGGGGACGGTGAAAATCTGGAGTAATACTCGATTTTGGGGTTGCTGTTTTTCAGCAAAGACCAGAAGATCCTCATATTGAAAGTTTTAGCGATGACGTGAGAGAGAAGAAATTAGGAGAAGGCGGACAGATGCTCGGACGGTGCGTTTCTCCCAGGGGCGGCCACATTTCCACCGGCCACAGCGGAGGAGACGGAGCGACGCGACAGAGCCAGCTCCATAAGGTTACAGGATAGGATACAAGCGACAGGAACGGCTTCCTGGATCTACATTACTGCACGCTCAGCTCTGCCAATCCCCTCGCAATGACGTGAGGACTTCATGCCATACTTTTCAAAGTAAAGAAAGAATGCGCAGTATATTTCGTAATATTTTATACCATCTATAGGGCAACACTGCAAGCTGCAAGGAGGTGTAAATTGGAAAACCTGGCAACAACATTTATTAGTTTTATATAATCAAATAAAATGATTAATATTTATTAAATAAATTAGCATATTGCATATTTAATTTTCTGCACATACTGTATATATTTAATTCTGTAAATATGGTACTTATTTATCTATTGTGTTTTGCATGTATTTCTTTAGCACTGATGTGGGTCAATACAACAATTTTGGTGTACTGTTGTGCAAAGTATGACCGTGCAAGGACAATAAAGAGTTAAACTTAAATGGTTTATTAATTTTAACGGATAAAACATTATGTTCTTATACTTGGGATTATTATTTAAAGTCTCCCTCCCGACCCATGACTTGCATTTATACACAAATTCCGTCGCTTAACAGAAACGCCATGCTTTTTTAAAAAGAATTTACTTAATTACTGGTGTATACGTGGTCTATAAGGGTCACTTATCACTCGTGTTTTAAATTACAATGCCATTATCGATGTAACGCCAAAGCAAATGTCTTTGGACATTTCCTTGTTGACGGTTGTATGAAGAATATATTTTTTAGGTAAAATGATTTTTTTTTTGTCTTGCAACAGGTTTCCTTTTTGTGTTTTCGCATTAAAAATAAATAATAAAACCGTAAACCAATTCATAAATGAAATATTTTTAGGTGTAGTTAAATGTATCCCTGCGTAGAGGCAAAAGCTTTTAATTTGAAGAGCTGATCTATCACAACATCCGGTGCAATTGATCTCCGTTGACGTTTGTGGACAGCACGTACCTTCGAAAACGTCGACTCAACCGCACTTGGTGCAGGCTTGTGGATTCACAGCCGCGATTGGCTCCAAGAGAGGAGCGACAAATTCGACAATGTTATTGGTCAGAGGCTTGTCAGTCAACGTCATTAACGTCTACATACCTGTTTATCTGTTCGTGCGCAGTCAGCGGGCAGTGGATGTTAGAATTGGGGGGTACAGAACGTTAGATTGTGGGTGGAGAACAGGTTTGGGCACCATTTTTAACACGATGTAAACACATTATGGTTCTTTTGAAACGAAAAATAAGGCCCTTACTGTTTTTTTTGTTTTTACTGCCCCCTAGCGAGGCAATATTTTAAAAATCTACAGTGGCCAGAGCAATGACTGTATTGGACCAGAGAGCAAACACCACAGCGGAGAACTGTTAGAACATTACCTTTTTAAAATAACCACATGTGAATAGTTAAAGTAGGCCAACATATCAGACATACATGCATACATATGTGCATTATATGCATTTAATAATACTCTATTTGGGCGCCTATACTTTTCCAAAAAAACCCAAAACAAAAAACAATCACCTTTTTTAAATTTAATGTTAATTCAACTTTTTAGAAAGACTTTTAAATTGGCCTGCGAGTTATTTCCAATTCTCTTTGTAACCCAGGGAGTCGGAGGATTGCAGGTACGCTGATGTTAAACTGTAAAATGTCAGCATGCAATGAACACAATTTTTTTTAATAATAAATTAATATTAAAATACAGTACTGCACAAACGTCTAAAGCCACTCCTCATTTCTTTGTATTTTGTTACTAAAGTGATTAATAGGTTCAACGTGTACACTGAAATATAAGCAAATATACTGGAAGTACATCTGTAACAAGCTTTACTGTTAGTGCTTGGTATGACCACCTTTATTCTTCCATACAGCTTAAATTCCGTTAGCCAAGCTTTCTTGTCATTACTTTTAAAGCAGTCTTCAGTTCTCTCAAAAAGCATTTAAAGCTCATTGTAAACTTGGTGCCAGTGGCAGAGTGTTTGGGATCATTGTCATGCTGAAAAAGAAAGTTATTGCCAATCATGGTACTCATGGTGTGGTATAATGAACCAAAATATGACCTTTTATGCACGTGTAATCCGTCAGTTTTGAGAAGATCCGCAACACCGCAGCCCCAAATCATGACAGAGATAGCTGAAGACACTCAATGTTGCCCATCTCGCAAGACCTCTTCCACATTTATTGACAACAATTCAAGAAAAAAATATTAAATTTATTTATTGTCATAAAACCTGCCGTCACTAATTTTAAGTCCAGTTTTGATAATCTGAAATATTTAAGTATAGCTTCTTCAGAGCTAAACATCCACTGAGATCATTTCTGTCAACAGCAGATGGCTCAGAAGATGCATGTGTCAGGTCGTTGATTTTTTTTCTTCCTGTTTCTTAAGAACACGACTTTTAAATACTGTTCATTTGCTGTACATAGTCGAAGACTTGGCGTATCTATGGGCAGTGTGTCCTAAAAATAGAGAAAACTAGACAAGTGGAGGAAGAAAATACCGTTTTATGCCTGTCACACTTTAAGTTTAACATTTTTTATCGAATCACCTAAAGAAATGCAGAAAAATGATATGTTTTGGGAACTGGCTGCTAGTAACAAAAAGCCTCTTTTCTAAGTTTGTTATGTGTAGATCCAATATTGCTTCATGTCTTGAGTTAGTGAGGCGGTAGCTCAAGACTTTTGCACAGTACTCGATACTTCACTCATCTGAACTTTGGGGATTTTTTAAAATATTTGCTTTGCTTTATTTTTCTGTAGTGTTGTCTTCTTGTAACTGAGCACCATTGCAATGACCTCAAGTTGATGAGAACCAGCATCCATCAGCGAGGATTTATGATGCTGTTCCAGCTTTTTTCCTTTATCTGTTTC